ACGACTGATGGCCTGAGACAAATATGAATAGCAAATCGACCCACAAGACGCCAAGAAGCAGTAGCCTCGAAAGGTACAAGCTGGTTGATTCAGTGCCCAATCTTCGCGAAAACCATAAACAGATACGACAATAGTATTGATGAAATAGGTCGAAATTATAACACATGTATTGCCCAGAAGAAGATTGGTGACAGTATAACATGGACGATGACTCGTAATGATCACAATCATCGTAAAAGTGAAGAGCAAAGCGACAATCGAAATCACAATCGAGAATGAGAAGTTGAGATAGTAAAATAGGTTGGTAAGCATATCTAAAAAAAATGACGTTCAACTAATTGAGAATGCGATTCTGCTTGTTTTTCTTGCAACATTGTTCTATGCGTAAAGCGCGCAGTATGTCACACTTCTAGTTATGCTTCTATAATTCCATTAATTACTTATTGGTTACTATTGTTGCAAGCTAACACAGCACAACTTTCATGCAACTGTCTATTTCAATTATGTCGCATCATTTAGCATATCTATGTTGTCATGCGTCTCCAGTCGGCGATGGTTGTCGTCTTTTTTTAAATATTTTGCTCGTATATGAAACAACCGGAAGTACCTACATAATGCTGTAAGGACAAATTATGATATTTAAGGATAAAGCAACAACATGAACGCGACAAGTTTTACATTTGCAACCAATATCATTCTATAGAGTATTGACTGTGCTCGTGTAGGTGTAAGAGAATAAATGCAAAGCCAAAAGCAAAACAGGAAAAGCAAGCATTTAGAAATTTGCGATGAATCAAGTAAATGAAATACAGAGAAAAGAAAGAGAATCGAAGAAGGACCCTCGTAAGCGTTTCAAGGACAGAAAAACAAGAAAGAAGAGGAGCAAAGCAAACAGTAAAAAAGAAAACAACAGAAAGATAGAAGGATTCAGCATGTTATCTTCTTTGTATATCATGACTTGATTCCAATAAATGACATTCATTTTAAGAGAAGCGACTTATACTTTTCTATCAACTGCTTTACGCGATTATTATGAAAAATCTGGCCAAATTGGTTGTTCTTTCTTTTATAAAAATTATTTCAAAGAAAAGTATTATTATGCAAGAGTGAACGATCAAGATCCGTATTGTGCATACATTCTAATCTTCTTTGAGTGTAGTGTTTAACGTAGGCCTCGAGTCAGAGTTTATTATTCACATTGTACCTACTACAATCTGAAACAAAGAGTCAAAGATGTCCCAGTCGAGAATCAAATTAAAATTTCTGTTTTAATAGTTGTTGTTGTGACTCGGGAAGCAGGGGGAAGAATAGAAAAAAAAATCATGCGAAGTGAGAAAATGCTTATGCGAAAAAATATTCTCCTAGTGCCTTAGTAGAGATGAAGCGTTTTGCTCTTAACTGTCTAAATCTCTTCAAGGATTTCTAAATGTTTCCTATACATCTATTAACTGTTGGTTTCAAATATCATTTGTTTGTCCATGTAAATTCTGGATATTTAAACTCATTTACTAATTCGAGTTTTTGTTCATTCACTTCTATATGCATTCTTGATTTTCTTCTCTCTGCATAAAAATAATAACGCAAAGATTATCTGTGACAAGATGATGTGAATGTACCCAGGGGCATTCAAATATATTACAATGTAATATGATAAATAAGTAAGAGCTAACGAAGGAACCTTTTCAGGTGTTACCCTTCGATTTTGATGAATTTTGGTCTATAAATACTACGTAGTGTCCTAGTAAAAACCCTAAAAGGATTTGGGTTCCTAGAGCTTTCTTCAATAGTAATGAGTATTTTAATTTTGCTACCGATAAGACATGCATAATATATTTAAGAGAGGGTTCGCCAGACTATGAATCATACCAGTAGTCACTAAATATCTTTTTCTATCTTTTAGTGCATATGATAGACTGTATCAGAAAACTTATAAATATAATATGTCAAGTTGTTTTGAAGTATTAATAAAAAATACTAAGGTTCACAATTATCAATTTTTTGTGGTTAGATAATAAAAATAAAAAAAGAAAGAATTTCCAATTCTTTGATGATTTTTTTGAGAACTTTCCTGTATTTGATTGGCTCTTTCAGACAGAAAAGAGCTTAGGAGATGCAGGAGTTCAAGAGCTTACAGAAGCTCAATTGAATTTTTTGTAATGTTGTAACTCCCCGAGATTCATGGCAAATTACAAGCAAAAGATCAACGATCAAGCACAGGCTTCTTCTTTTGTAGAAGCTCACTTACTTACTAAAACTTATTGTCATGAATAGTTGTATAGTACATTTTGTAGGAAACTCTTTTCTGAATCTTTTAAAGCCTCTCCTGGTTCAAAAGATCGATGAAATACAAGAAAATTCTCAAAAGAACCATTAAAGAACTGGAAATTCTTTCTGTTTTTATTTTTATTATCTAACCACAAAAAATTGATAATTGTGAACCTTAGTATTTTTTATTAATACTTCTAAACAACTTGACATATTATATTTATAAGTTTTCTGATACAGTCTATCATATGCACTAAAAGATAGAAAAAGATATTTAGTGACTACTGGTATGATTCATAGTCTGGTGAACCCTCTCTTAAATATATTATGTATGTCTTATCGGTAGCAAAATTAAAATACTCATTACTATTGAAGAAAGCTCTAGAGACCCAAATCCTTTTAGGGTTTTTACTAGGACACTACGTAGTATTTATAGACCAAAATTCATCAAAATCGAAGGGTAACACCTGAAAAGGTTCCCTCGTTAGNTTTTGATTTTGACCTTCGATTTAGATAGACGTACTTGAGATCTATAGTTCAAGATACAATGCAAATGAATGTCTTACTACATTCTAACGTTGAGCAAATGGAATCATGTACCTACATGCGCAAATAATAGGAAATTTTGCTGATTTTTTACTAAGTTTTCGCACTTTTATCCTAGTAGCTTGAGATTTCGATGAAAATGTAAGAAAAAGTAAGAAAGCGCATTGTGTCTTGAACTGTAGATCTCAAGTCCCTCTATCTAAATCGAAGGTCAAAATCAAAATTTCATCTAGCTGGCAGGTCATTTTCATGAGTTCTTTTGCATGTTTTTCAAATATCATTAGTTTTAAAAGAATTTCGTCTTATACATTATCGGAGAAAAAGACGTGCCCGCTCCTCCTCTTTCGATTGGTGAAAACCACAGGTAGCTAGCTATTGCGGTTGTCGAGTTATTGAGCTTACACTCACCCCTCTTTTATTTTGGCGCGGACATTAGATTCCAAACTTGCCTGCTACATATATATAGTGAAATGATTTGTAAAAGTTGCAAAAAAGACACTGTTGCAAAATTGAACTTCGCATATTAATCATAGATAAGTTTTTATAAGATTAGGCAAAATCCTGAAGAAGATAAAACTCACAATGCAATGGTCATTTTGATCAATTGAAAATCTATTCTTGAAAGAATAATTAAAAAACAAGAATTCATTATAAGAAAATCTCATAAATTATACAATTATTAAAAATCTCAAGTTAAATGAAAGCTCCTACAAGTGTTAGATCTACTTTTTCGCAGTTTTTCTTATGTTGTCTTTCCACTTGGGGTTTATCTATTTGATCAGATACCAAAATTAAACGACTACTAAACGGATAATTTTCACTTGCCTTGAACAACTCGATCGATGTGTTGAAAATAGTCATCAGTCATTCTTTATAGAACTCGTCAATGATAAGTAGTAGATACAGCTTTACTTTTCAGTTTGGATCGATCGTATAGTAGTCCTTATTTCCAGCTAATCCTGCAGTCTCTCAAGGAGAAAAAAAGGAAGATCAGGTAGTATAGTATTGCATAGCATGAAAAGAAATCTAGTCGGATAGAATTAGCAACAGTTGCTTGCCTTTTGTCTCATTCTCAAATCGATGCCACGATCATTCTTCAGATAAGACTGGGTACCTTATATATGACCATTGCCATAAAATATCACTGAACAAAACCGTTGGATTGATAGTGCATCGATTACACTAATAGAATTCATTCATGGTGCCTTTCTAACACACAATCCAAATGTTTGTTTTCTCATACTCAAATCAACAATCATTACTTGAACCAATTCCAAAAATTTAAAAAAGAAATTTCTTGATAATGATGAAAGTAATCATGATCAATTACAAGAATTGAAGAGACACTTAATAGAAACCTTTCTGAACGAATAAGTTTTTGAACACAGCTATATCTATATTGCTATTAATGTATCACCAGTACGTGAACGGATGCGTAGTAAATATCACTATTTTTTTGCTAAATATAATTGGATTTTGTAGATTAGAAATCGATGGTTTACAACAATTCGACCAACAGTATTTCTCGTAACAGACATTGGAAAAAGGTATCCGACAAATTTTGAAATAAAGAATACATCGATTGATGAAATTGTTTCCTATGCTTTTCATCTTAGTATGTATTTTAAATCTATTGAACAAAAAGAAAAAAAAACATTTCTAATCAATAAAACTCAATTTTTTGTCGATCGACTTCATGAAATCTCCATAGATCTCATATACGGTTCTGAAAATAACACAGATTGAACATTGACAGACGGAAAGTTGGTTCTAGAATAGTCATTGACTAAATCAACACAAAAATACACTATCAGTCTTCTTACTAAGTTATGCAGAACCTGTCGAGGAAATGAAAAATGATGATATTGATTGCATGCAAGCTTGATGTTTGAGCACTTACTATATTGTTTAATTTCGCTTTCTCTCTCAGAAATTAACAAATGATCCTAGCGCAGAATTGATTACTCAAGCAATATTCAGGTTTACTAATGTGGATATAGGTGTTGGCTTGCACTCTTTTAACACTTATTCTAAAGTCCACACCAACTCTCATACCTAGGCCCACATCCCATACGTACAATGGAAGTAAGCCTTTTTGTACTAGGGCATCGATGCCTTTGCATTCTAGATCTTTTTGTTGAAATAACGAATGATGAACTTCTAAAATGTTACAGCGCAGATACAGGAAGTTAATTTTGAAGTTCTTGTTGTACTAGACTAACCCAATAGCCCACACCGAAAAGAATAGCATCATCATTGAAGTTGTACGTTGGAGAATGAAGTTCACCAGATCGGTTTCCATTTCTTATAAACATATGAGCACCTGCTTTTCGTTTAAGCATTTCAGCAAAATCTTCTGCGTTCATTATTGGTGTTGTGTTTTCATCGACGTTTTTGGCGCTTACAAGACTTTCAGCTGCTCTAATAGCTCGTTCCGTAGATTGAACATCATTGACAAGTGGAATTCCTTCTCGATTGAAAACCACTTCAGCTATGGACCCAAAGCTAGTAGCAAGACCATGTGCCAACTCTTTCATGCGTCGTTCAATTGTATCTCGCACTTCTGTCGTAAAACTACGGGCGGTACCACCAACACGAATTTCTGATGGTAACACATTCAATGATTCGAAAAATCCACTTTGAATAGCGCCAACACTTATCACAGCTGCATCTATCGGTGCAATGTTACGACTAACGATTGTCTGTAATGATAGAATGAATTCCGCTAGCAGCACAGTCACATCGCTAGCTAAATGTGGTGCAGCACCATGACCACCAGTACCTCGAAATGTAACAATCCAAGTATCGGCTGCTGCCATCATTGGACCCGATCGAATAGCAAATTGACCAATAGGTAAACGTGGCATGTTATGCAAACCGTCGATCGCATCCATTGGAAATCGATCAAATAGTTTATTTTTGATCATGGCAATGGCACCACTGTATTTTTCTTCAGCAGGTTGAAAAATAAAGTAAACAGTTCCATAAAATCAATCTCGATTTTCGGCCAGATATTTAGCCGCACCAAGTAACATTGTAGTATGTCCGTCATGGCCACAAGCATGCATGATACCAGACATCGTAGAAACAAATGATACATCATTCTTCTCAATGATTTAAAGAGCATCCATATCGGCACGCAAGCCAATAGAACGATTACCTGATGTATTACTTTTCAATGTGCCGACTACACCCAGATTGCCCACTTCTTCAGTGACAGTTATACCCCATTGTTTCAGTTTAGCAGCAACCATAGCGGATGTACGTACTTCATTCATTGCCGTCTCTGGATGGGCGTGAATATCTTGACGAATGAAAGTTAGTTCATTCTGCATTGCATGCAATCGACTAAGAAGACTGTTGTCCATTCGCTGTCGATTTCGAATATTGGAATCCACATCTTTGAAAACAGTTACTACCAAAATGAATAAGAGCAAAGTCCAGAAAGAAGAATGCATAGCTTCACAAGGTTTGATCTTGATTATCAATGACAATATGTAGTCAAGACAAAAGAAGATTACCGATTCAGTTATGCAAATATCATCTTTCAGGTATTGTCAAGACTACGATGCAAAGATGCTTGCTCTTTCGTCTATATTGACAAAAAAAAACATTCTTTTCTGCACGATTATATTCTTCTAGAATGAATTAAAATGTTTAGTGTTAGAATCAAGGTTTTGTTTTAGATTAGAACTCAATTAAAAAGCAAAATGCTTTTTAAACATGCTGNAAAGAAAACATCCTATATATATTCTGATAGTCAGCGTTCAGCTCTATCGAACCGCACATGAGTCAAGTTGTTCAGCTTTCAAAAGTGAAACTTTTAATGGAAGTCCAATCATTTCACTGCTACGAAAACGTTGTCTTCGAATAAAAAATCTCTTCCGAATTTGGGTGAAAGTTGGTATACTAGATTTTGTAGAGTGTCGCTTGTTCTATCTTCTGGTATATAGGGTTGCTCAACCGGTTTCTATTTTCGCTCCTTAGAAAGTCAAAACATTTATCTATTAGGTTTTTTTGACAGTTCTGAGCTCATATTTCGGGAATTTTTTAGTGAAATACTTGATGGATTAGCCTGAAAATTTAAATCCAGATAGGTCTCAACTAATAGATATATTTTGAAAGTCTAAAAACTGTGGCCAATAAGAAAGTTCCTAGCCGTGTTGTGCTTCGGATTCGGTTTTTTGGCACGTTTTCACCCATTTTTAACCAATTGAAAAATCTTTTTAATAGAGAAGAGTCTACTCTGAGTTAGACCAATATCCGGATCGGAATCAGCATCGGAAACTGTTAGTGTCAACAGATGTTATGTTGTTGCTGTTAACCTTTTTTATTCTTTTCGTTCTCCTTTACGTAACCTATGTGAGGTTCGATGCTTCCCCAGCATATACATATATGTCTATACTATTCCTTTCTCTCTCTCTCTCGTTCAGCTATATGAACAAGTTTTTCTCCAGTAGTTTAGTTGTTTATTTCTGTTATCTGGGTCACGCGTTTTCCTTGACTAAAATATACATTCATCATCTGAACCTATATTATCTTCTTTATTATATCAATCTACAAATTAAAGTGGGATAACTAACACCATTAACCTAGCTAATACAGATGTTGGTTTTCTATTGATTTCTTTCGACCTATTAACATTTAGCGGGTAGGAGATTTGGATGAAAGAGAACACTAACAGAAACCGGATTGATTTATGGATCTTTCAAATATCTTTGAGAATTTTCATTTTTCTCGAAAATTGGTCTTCTGTTCTCCGTTAGGATACTCTCAAGAAAACAGTAATTTCTAGTAAAAATGTTATGTGCTTCGCGGAATGAAGTGCTATCGCTTCTTAAATAATATTGTAAGTGAAATGACAGATGACTAAATAGTAAAAACTTCATTCTGGTAGAAGCCACTTGTTGAGGGCACCCAGAGGGGGAGTATGAAAAAGGTTTTCTAGAAAAATAAAAGTTCTTAGAGATGTTTGAAAGATACAAAAATCGACTCAATTTTCGGTGTTGAGCTCGAATTATTATTAGTTTTGACCTTTACCGGGCTTATCTTTATGAAAAAGAAAAGCTCATTACCAGCCGAAAGTGGACAGCAACGTGAAAAAAACCGTTCCCAAAGCACAACGTGGCTAAAAATTTTCCTAGTGGCCAAATGTTGTAGACTTTCAAAATATACGGTTTTTGTAGCTTTTCAAAAGACTTATCCAATGAACCGTGCTAGAATTTTTCTCATTTGAATTTTTATGATAAAATATTTGTTGAAAAATAAGAGTTGATCATAAATATAGGACCTATATCAACAGTGTCTAACAGTATACGAGGTTTCTCCCCATTGAATCAAATAATCACTGATTCATTCATATGTAGGATTGAAATCCTATTAAAACACCATCAAATACTGAATTTGTACAGGTATCATTTCTTTTGAATTTACTCTAACAATAAGTTGACCACAATACAGTAGGTTATTGGACAAATGACCAAAAAGTGAGCTGCTTCGTTAATGGCTTTTTGTTCTAAAAGTTCAGTCAAAATCCCACGAAGATAGCGTCGAAATGCTTGTTTCAACATGCTGTTAATATTGGTATAAGATTCAATGGGGTTGGACAAAAAACTGCAAATGGGTCGAACTGGCTTCTAATGCGCTCCCTCTCTCTTTTGAGCGTGACCTGTTCAAACAACGGTTTTGACATTTTACTAATATAAGAGGATGTGAAAGACAATATGATAGTTTGTAAAATCTCGCATGACTTTTATTCTACTAGTTGAGACCTATCTGGATTTAAATTTTCAGACTAATCTATCAAGTATTTCACTAAAACCTTCCCAAAATATGAGCTCAAAAATGTTAAAAAAGCTAATGGATAAATGTCTTGACTTTCTAAGGAGCGAAAATAGAAACCGGTTGAGCAACCCTATATACCAGAAGATAGAGCGAGCGACACTCTACAAAATCTAGTATACCACCTTTCAGCCAAGTTCGGAAGAGATTTTTTATTCGAAGACAAAGTTTTCGTAGCAGTGAAATGACTGGGCTTCCATTAAAAGTTTCACTTTTGAAAGCTGAACAACTTGACTCATACGTGGTTCGATAGTGCTGAACGCTGACTATCAGAATATATATAGGATGTTTTCTTC